GTTTGTTGTTGTAGGTGGGAGGAGGGTTGATGTGAGATGGGAATTCTTTGTTTAGGGTGGTGGGATGGGAACCTTATTATGATAATTGACAAACAGGGAAGGAGGTGAAGTGAAGTCAAGAGTGAATGGGAAGCTTGCTTCTTGACGAAGTTTTCAAGGTACCTGGTTTGAGTGAAGCTTGATTTTTTTTTCAAACTAACTTGGTTACCTAGGTAAGGTCAAAAAAAAAAAAGATAGCTTAGATGGGAAAGAGCGACGGGGGAAAATCCGAAATGAAGTGAAGCTAATGTAAGGTACCCAATTTATTACCATCATAGTATCATAGTATCATGTACTAGAGTCGAGTCTAGGTAATTCTACCAGCTGGGCAGGATTTAAACTTTGAGCTTCTAAGGTGCTCGCCCACCTTCAATTCATTGACTAATCCCGAAATGAATTTCGAAATGAATTTAAATGATTTAAATGAATAATGATTTGTAAAAATGATGCCAATCCCATCCAATCGTAGGAAAATAGTTTAAAGTAAACTCAAAAGAGAAAAAGAGTTCGTTTCGTTCCCTTTTGATCTGACGGGACGGGAATATCAAACTAATATTCATTTGTCGTTGTATAACCACATCTAATCTCATCTGATCTCAACCGATATGATTTGGTGTTCAACGATCAATCACCCACCTACAACTGCTGTATATACTGTAATGTAGTAGTAACTTTATCGTGTTCAAGCAATTACAGTACATACAGTATTAGAATTTACATGATCTCGCATCTACCTCATTTGGAATGGTCCTATACACTGATACACGCGTGCATGGGAATATTCCAATGTGAGTGTTGTTAGCTTTTGGGTGAGAGAGAGGGGTCCATTTGCCAACATGTCCGACCATGCTAGCCATCTCATCTCGCTCATCCCAAAGCAAAGCAAAGCAAAGCAAAAGCGATGAGTTTCCAGCTGTACAATGCCATTTCGATCGAACTAGTTGATGCATCATTGCATCTTGACTTCAGACATCGCAGGGGATCCAATAGGATCCCAGGAAGTGGAGGATACCAGCCACGAATTCCGGTAGAAGATGGCTGGAAATGGTATACCGTATACCGTATACCGTGTACGACTGGATTTTCTTGAGGTGCGATGCTGTCCGACGGTCCAACTTCTCTCGCTTGCAGAAATCCAGATGATGTTAGTGGCATGGCACACGCTCAACCAAGAAATGGTTGTACTTCTCCGCAGTTGTTGACAAGGAAGAGAGTGAAAATCCACCAGGTTTTCCATGCACGTAACGCTGAAAAGGTTGAAAAAAGATTGAACGTCGAAACTCTTTTTCTGGTTTATCTACAATTTACCCAATTTATTACTAGGGAGGTAGTAGCGGGTTAATATTAGTTAATTCTGAGTTCTGAGTTCTGAGTCCCGAGTCCTGAGTCCTGACATCACGGACTTGTGGCTGATCTTGGTGATACAGATAACTAAAAACTGCATGGACAAAATCAAAGGGTTCTCTAAGTTCTAACTTCTTCTCCCGTAGTCTGATCAGAATCATCAGATCTCTCTCCGTTTAATTTCATTCCTTTCCTTTCGAGCAAATGGTTACGGAGTGTACTCCGTAGTACAAATTGCTTTCTCAATTCTAACACACACACACAAGTGCTCAAACATCATCACCATTAATTAGGATCAAGTTTCCCAACTTCCCTTACATCAATTTGATTATTTTCAATGCTGCGTTGGCAATGAAAAGTGGAACAGATGACATTTCACACTTCATTCAAATCTTCTCTCCTCTGATGATTCATCATTGTGTTGTAACTTGTCCATGATAAAAAAGCAGGTTCATGAATCATGAATCATTCATCATTCATCATTCATAAACCATATTATTGAAAAACAAACCCAATTGTTTTCGAACGCCCTCTTCCATATCAGTATTGTGACGTCTTAGAAGTTAGGTCTATAACCGTGTCTATCTACTACTGCGTAGGTACACCGGTACACCCAAGCAAGATCTTCCCATACCATTCAAAATTTGATATTTTTTTTTTCTCAATCCAAGCTTCCATTCCAATCAAATCTTCACCTACTAGGGGTTCCACAAAGAGGCCGGGTCTTATACTTGTGCTTCGGCCGCAGAACGATATGCACCTCTTATCTACCTACTAATAATTTATAAATCAAGGAAGCGTGAAGGCCACTCAACCAATCCCGATTGGCTTGGATAAACCAATGAACCCTAATTCCCCAGGAAACGATGGATCCATGGTTACCGGTGACCCTTGCCCACCAAATGCTTCTGAAGTCCCTGTTGAGCTGAATACATACGCAGACGCCGGATGGTGGATCATGGAAGCTTTTCGAAAGATTCTATTCAATCCAATCTACTATGTATCTCGAAGCACGTGAATCCGAATGTTAGTTACAGTACCCCTCCACTTATATTAGTTGAACCTTAAATTTACACCCAAATCAATCAAAATACATACATTTCATTTTAATATTTTAATACAATTAAAAGTTTAATCATTGATTCCTATTAATATATTAAAGATTTTTACAAAAAGATTATATAATTAAATTTTCAAAAGCTAAAAAATTATATTCGTGAAATATTTAATCTTTAAAGTTGAAATTAAATTTTTTATTGATTTTCCCCGCAAAAATTGATTCAAAAACTATTAAGTAACTTTGTATCTTAATTATATAAACTAGAAAATTTCTAAAAATAAATTATATATTTTTTAATTGAATTTCCTTTTGAAATAATCTATATTATAAATAATACAAATAATTCTATTGATATTAGAAATTATATAAATTATTAAAGTGGTTGACTTTTGGTGCAAAACCCCTGTCGAACAAATAGAAGTGGTCTAGTACTGTACCTATGCTCTTCCTCCATCGCAGATGCACCATGGACAGACAGACACCAAATTCGATATGAGGAAATGAACAGGCTGATCCATCCATCCATTAGCAACGCAAAAAACCCTCCCTTATCTATATCTATCTGTGCGATGGATGGAGCAAAAATTTCTTATTCTGCACCCATCTACCTACCTACCTATCTCATTATGTCCGCGTCCTTTATTTCCTCTCGACATCCTTCATTTCCTCATTTCCTCATATCACCTATCGCATCACACAAACCCCTCGGACCGTTCATCATATCATATCATCTAACCTAAGTTACCTAAGTTACCGACCTACTTACCTACCTAACTAACTAACTAACTAACTATCACAAAGCCTCAACACTATTGAATAATGAATGGCTAGGTCGCTAGGTCGCTAGGTCGCTAGCTACCTATCTAGCTCTCCTAGGGAAATGATTAACCTCGTTAAACCCCCCGGGCCTTCAGCGGCTTCAGCCATGTCTCTTCCACTCTTCCACTCCCCTACGCAGTACATGCTGATCCCTTTGTGCTTGTGGCTAGGTACCTACCTACCTACCTAGATAGATAAACCAAATAAATATCTCCGTCAACCAACCAATCCAATCCTTCAGGTGAACAAGGACTTCCAGCTTGATCAGCCAATGTACCATACCAAAGTCTAATTTGTACTTGTACTTGTACTTGTACTTGTACTTGTATTTGTATCTACAGTATAGGTATAGGTATCGGTATAGGTATCGGTATAGGTATCGGTATAGGTATAGGTATCGGTATCTCGTCAACTTTTATCCGTCCGTAATGGTTTCTGGTGGTGGAGCGCTGATGATTTGAAGCTTGAAGTTTGAAGCTGTGAAGTTTACCTAGCTGGAGTATCTGGGTACCTAGATACTAGGTAGGTAGGTATCCATGGATTTTCTTTCATTATTCCCCTCCCTCTACTTTTCAATCATTTTCCCACGCTCTTATGGTATAATTATTATTATAATTATGATTATAATTTATTGTTTGGGCCCTGATACATACATACCTACTTTACCTAGCTATTTACCTATTTACATCTATCTCTGATTATTATTGATCTTAATCTTAATCTCAATCTCAATCGTAATCTGTAAGAGAAAAAGAGTATGTACGTACGTACAGTCTCATCAAACCACCTGAAATGAAAATCATACCTACTAGATACCTTACCTTACCTTACCTTACCTTACGTACCTTACATCTTGTCGTTCGTTCGTTCTCTCTCCTCCAGGGCTCTCCTCTCTCTAGGTGCCTACCTAGGTACCTAGAGAACAATAACAATAACGATAACGATAATAACAATAATAATACAGCAGCAAGAACAGCGAAATTAATATTAAATCGATGAGACAATCAGATCAGATCAGATCAGATCAGATTATAGAAGAGAAGACAGTGAGTCCCCGAGACATCTCAGCTTGCGTGGTTGCGTGGCGAACGGAACGTGAACGTGATCTGCACATGTCTTGTCTTGTCTTGGGTGCGGGTATCAGATTATGGATTTATTGATTAGTGTAGGTAGATAGGTACAAGAAGTTAAGATTATGGTATGGTATGGTACGGAAGGAAGAAACATAAACTGGAATATTTCTTCACCCCGGAAAATGAAAAGAAGTATAGAAGATATGGAAGATGGAAGATATGGAAGATATAGAAGATAGGTAGGTGGGCATGGCCAATCCGTTAGTTTTTTGGGGGGGGGTGTAGAAAACTCCCGGTGAGTATTATCGATTTTTTATAACTTTTTATTTACGAGGTGAACAAAAACGGACGAATTTCTGATGTCCCCTCATGGGTACAATGGGGGATGCAATTCTTTGCATCCCTCGATTAGGTGAATAATAACCTAATCCTCTCTCCAACGTAGTAAGTAACCTAATAAGTACCTAAGCTCTTTCCCATCCCAATCCCACCGCCCGCCCCACCACACCAAGCTTTTCCCTTCCATTTCCATCCGAATCCCCCCACCAAAAAAAAAGAGAAATTCCACCCCACCCCACTATGAAAAAACTTCTCAAAAAAAACTCCAAAAACCACACAACAACCACACTCCAAAAAACTTCAAAAGTCCAAAAAGAAAAAAGAATTGGCGGTGCTGGGAATCGAACCCAGATTGAAGCGGAGATTGTTGAGCCGATTAAGGAACTCTGAATCGTGAGGACCCTCCCGAGGGAGGTGAAACCACAACACCACGTGCTACCATTACACCACACCACCTTGTTTGTTTGTTTGTTGTTTGATGCTGGGGGGGGGTTGGTTGGGGTTATGAAGTAGATATTGGGGGGGATGGGTGGGGATGGGGGAATAGGTATGGAGGGAGGAGGGAAGAGGAGAGGAGAGGTGGTTGTATTTCTTTTTTATTATCTTATTTTCCCCGTCACTTACATGGTTGTCTATGCAATATATATGTTTTGGATGTACATACACTCCCACTCACACTATCATCTCCTCTTCTACTAACATCTTCTACTCCCCTCCCCTCCCAGCTCACATCTTCATCCTCAGCTTCATCTTCATCTTCCTTTCTCTCCCCTTCCTCATCCTCACTTTTCTCCCAAAGTACATACCCTCCCTTTGAGCGAGGTCCTTGCAGATTAACTATCTGAGCCTTTCCTACACGCTTGTTTGAGGGTTTTCACTTGTATTGGTTATTTTGAAGTTCGAAGTTCGAACTTCAGGCTCCTTATTATAATCATAATCATCATATCTTCCAAAACTATAGCCATCCCCATCCCCATCCTCCTTCCCACTCCCACTCCATAAAATCATCCGTTCAATTTTCAACTTTCCTTTACAAACTAGATGGATATTCGCGTTCGCCAAGTATGGTGATTATCTCTATTCTTATTCTTTTTCAATTCCTTTGTAATTCATATTCACATTACCTACTTTTCATAATATATCACCAATATTGCATTTCGCTTGACTCAAATCCTCCCCCTTTCCTTTTCATCCAACATCACCCTCATCACCCTCATCTAATCTTATTAATATTTTGATGCTGATATTTTTTATTTCCTACTTCCTACTTTTTACTTCCTACTTTCTACTTTCTATTTCCTACTTTTTACTTCCTACTTTCTATTTTCTATTTTCTATTTTCTACTTTTTACTTTTTACTTTCTACTTTCTACTTCCTACTTCTTACTTTCTACTTTCTACTTTCTACTTTTTACTTTCTACTTTTTATTTTCTACTTTTTACTTCCTACTTCCTATTTTCTATTTTTTATTTCCTACTTTTTATTTCCTATTTATTTACGACTTTCGATATATATTAAATTTTAATTTCAATCCTTTTCTTTTCTTTTGTGTAAAGTTAATTATATAGATACTTTAATATATACTACTATTACTATATCATCGCCACATCACATTATATAATTACAAACAACATCAAGTAAATAAACGATCTCATAAGATAAATTGTTCTTATATCCTCCCGTCCTAATCCTATATATAATATTATAATTCAACACAAAATTATTAGTTTTCGCATCAAATCTGAGTATCTACTGATTAATACAATCGATAGGTTTATAAACAAGTAAACTAGATGAATCAATCTGAATCAATCATCGATACCAACTATCTATCATATAGAGTAAATAAACCAACCAACCAACCAACCAAAAATATAATATAATATACACAATCCTCCCGGTCCCCTTAGTAAAGGTTCCGAGTCATATCCTTGGCTAGGTAGGTAGGTATCAAAAGCAAAACAAACCAGTAGCGTGAAAATGCCCAGGAATGATGGGTCTTTATGATCAGAAATTTACCAGAGGACAGCTAAATCATTGCGTCTTGGGATAAAATAAGATAGAGATGCGTAATTGTGTTTCGGGAAAATCTTTTATGAGAAGAAGGGGGAGTAGATATAGTAAAGCTAATGAGGGAAGAAAGGCAAGATAGTGGGCGGGTATTGGGAAAGAAGAGGTATGTTGTGCAGGAGGAGGATGTTGACCTGGATGATGTGAGGGTGGGTTTTATGGGGAGGATGAGGAGGAGGACGAGGAAGCCGAGATTATTGAGCCCACAATATGTAGAGTTGGCGGGGAGAAATTGATTGTGGAGGAGCAAGTGGAGGAGATGGAGGAGGATCTTGATGCACCGATTTTCAGGTGGCTATCATTATCTTTGAACATAATCTTACACAATGATTGAATCCAATTAAACTCAAAGACACAAGACTCAGACATCAACTATCGCATTCGCATGACACAGTTTCATCAACCGTTCGTGAAATGGAAGAAAGATCCACCATTGAAAATGACAAATCCTCAGTTGTAATCCTATAAGACTCTGATTTTTCCATCGGCAGCTTTGCTGTGCTCCTTGCATATATTGCATGGTTTGAAGAACTGCATCTAGTCCCTAGTAGAATACCCGTAATACCCAATATTGGCACCGTTCAAAATATGAGCCAGGACGTAGAATCTCGATTATCTTGCCATATTTGCCGGATGAAGCGTGGAGTTTTAGCCAAAGCGTAATTATCAACTTAACGATTTGGATACGAAGGCGAGGCGGTTGAGACGTCATCTTGTATTCTCTCGTTTGTTAAGTATCTTATAACAGGAGAATTGCTTTCTATAACAAATTTCAGAAAGTAGAATATCTTGAACCTCTTTTTGTACCAGCAAATGATTTTGGTGCTCGGAAAAGCTTTTGTGTCTTTTTGTTCTGTCCAAAGGTGATTGGATGGGAGAGAAGTATTTCCCCAAGTAGCTCTATCACTTCACTTTCCCTTCGCCAACTTGCTTGGGAGGTTCCATCAAACACGCAGCAGTAGATGGCACTTTTTCTGACACCTTCAACAGTGCATTGATGCAAGCTGGAGATGTAGAAAGAAGGATAATGGTAGACGGAGAACGTCCCATCCGTCTATCGAGCTACAGATGACACGAGAGATAATCCTCCCAGTTGAACTTTACATTGCAGAGTTTGGCCAGTACATAAACATCCATGTTCTTCAACAGAACAATTTTGGTCTTGGTCTTGGTAAATGCATTCTTTTCATCGATTTCCTCGAAAGCGCATTATTTGACGGTGGTAGCATGATGCCAAAGCCGAGCAAAAACTCGGGTGGATTTCTTCTGCTGGAAGAACGAGCATCTGTGTTCACCACTAATCTGTGTTCTTGACCAATCTGTCCTTCCATTTCACCAAGAGATTGAAATATCCGTCGACATCTGGGATAATTCTTGATTTATATCATCGTCTGTCATCAAATGATTGAAAATATGAATAATAGACCGGAAAAAACCATCCGCTCAGGACTGAATTTCCAGGCATTGAATATGGAATGTTGCGCCGCTGCAGCACTTCTCTATACATAGTTAAGCTGCATTTACTAAGCACACTTTATGAGCCCTAATGATAATCTGCTCTCCATACATAACAGCTCTCATCCAGTACAATCCATTCCTATCGAGAGGCTTGGCCAAATAAAAAAGACGTGTTCCCCACGCTTTTGTTTGAGAAGGAGAGCAAATTCTCGACCTGTCGATAAAATACCATGAGAGTTGGGCAAAGATGAGCAAGCCACAGTAAGTACGGTATTTACTTGAGATCATATTGTCCACTTTCCTAATTGGAGCGATCTTAACACTTTTCCCTCACACAAACGTACCCCTAGTCCATTGTGGAACCGAGTCCTAGAACATTATCATGATGAGCTTGAAGGCGCCGAAGACTATGAAGCTATTCAGCAGATCCACTCATTGCAAGAACTTATGAAGTCCTTCGATTCAATGCAAAAGTCTGCCTTTTAGGCCTTATGCTTCGGTACCGACACATCACTGACCGCGGCTGTTCGGGGAAGTATCAGACTCATTCTTTCCCAAGCATCCTTGACCGTAGAGAGTTTCCTGGTTGTTCTTGACATTCGCGAAGAGTTTAGTCTAACGCTTCCACGATTTCAAATCTGTGAAGATATGTTGCCTTTGAGTGGATTCCAGTTAGCCTTAGTTGATGTATACCCTGAAGTTATTTGCTTCTATGCTAGGGCAATACACTTCTGCAGCGACGATGCCTATATAATTCCGAGGAAATATTCATAGGACACTTTTCAAAACGACTTCTCGAGAACCATCCTTCGAATTAAGCGCGTGTCATCCATTGTGGAGAGAAAAGCCGACGTGGCACGGATGAGTAAGGATGAATCTAAGTATAAAGAAGAGCTAGAACTTATGAATTCTATGCTTACGAGCTCATCGACGAACAACACCAAAGTTAAGTATAACAACATACCGGTTGCTAGGAACAACAAATTCAGAGGCCGTGAAGAGGACATGGCGGCTGTTAAAAAATGGCTACACCCATCTGGTACCGTTTCATCACTTAAATCAACCGCACTGTTTGGAATGGGAGGCGCTGGGAAGACAGAGATCGCAATTCAATAAGCATATGTCAATCTTAAACAATTCGATGACGTGATTTTATGGGTCGGCAGACAATGCAATTTCCATCACCCAGAGCCTCTACAAGATCGTCCAGGGCCTTGGGCTTATTTCTGATAACAACAATGGAGATGATGCTTCTACTTTTACTTGGCAGGTCAAAAAGTGGCTCAATTCAACTAGTAAGTTTTGTTCTCCGGATGACTGACTTCTTCCATTCTGTTGACTGATATAGAATCTTCGTGGTTGATCATATTCGACAACGCAGATGAATTGAGCACCCTCAGAACAATATGGTCCAGAACTACCTACGGATCAGTACTTGTGATGACGCGCGAATTCTCGTTGGCACTTGTCTTCCAGCTCATCATCTGCAAGTTGATACACTAAGTGCCACAGATGAGAGCAAGCTTTTTATGAGAGCCGCAGGCGTGGACGACATTTCTCCGGCAGACAGCGCTAATGCGCTTGTGATCAGTGAAACCTTCGGAGACTTCCCCTTGGCACTCTCCCAGATTGAAGGGTTTATTAGTCAACGGATGTTGACGTTGCAACACTTCTTACCTTTGTATGAATGGAACCGTGCGAAGATTGATGCACGCAAAGTATCAGGCTCAGAATATGAGTATACCGTTAGCACTGCCCGGAATATATCATTCGAGAGATTGACCGAAAACTCTACCACACTTCTAAACTTGTTAGCATTTTTGATCCCGACAATATAAGTGAGGATTTCTTTCTAGAAGGGTCTCTTGATCTAGACCATCCATTCTTTTTTCTATAGAGTGAGTCTCTTCTTTCTCTTTCGAAGATA